TAAAAAATATTTGTTTATGTTTAAATGTATAAATCATATAAGAGTAAAATACTAATGGAAATAAGTTAAATATTATTTATTAAATACTGTAATTTTATAAGTCTTTTAAAAAATACATAATTCTACCATTAATGACTAAAATTGTTTTATTTACCCATTTTTTCTTCAAATATTATAATGAATTTAGAAGTTAAATCATTTGACATTTTATAGAAATCTCTATGATAAAGGATGATCAATTTCTATATCTAATTAAAAACCATTTGGTTATAAAATATTAATTATACAAAAGGTAATAAAAAAATTTCAATCATAAAAAACTTACAAAAAAATTTAGATCACATAAATTTTTAAAAAAATGACACTATAAAAATGGTAAAATGTATTAATGTTAACTATTATTTAATTGTTCATACTTTAATAAAGTCTACACGAATTAAATTTGATTTTATTTCAGACATTTCTCCCCTCCAATATAAAGTTGAACCATCAACTTTAAACTCAATATATTCATCATGAGCAGCTCCAAATCCAACTTTATCATAAATATCCAGTTGAGGTACAATGATGTGTTGATTATTAAGTATAACATCAAAGACCTGAAAAATATATTAAACTATAATAGAAAATATTTCTGAAAGGTTAGAGCATAATACTTTTAATCCACTGTTTGTAAAGTAAACTTCACTAAATTTTAAAACCATTACATATTCACCATTCTGCATGATGGGTATATCATAACCAAATGAAGTGTGAGAGTATCTTTCAGTCTGATAAAGTATTTGGTCATGGTGTTTAACTCTTTGTATGGATAATTTTTTTCCATAATCTGATTCTGTACCAATTTTATTAAAATCTCTTTGATACAATATACCAAAACTATCTACATGGGCATCACCACCAGCATTGACAGCAAATATCACATCTTCCTTATTTAAACAATAACATGGTAGTATTGTATGAATAAATAAATGTAAAAATAGCAGAAGCCACATTCTAATTGTCATCGATGATTTTAATATGAAGTATTATTCATTATATTCAATATACTTAATGGAAAATCATCTCAGCAGTTGAAATAG